TACTAGTACTATATATATATATATATATATATATATATATATATATATATATATATATATATATATATATATATATATATATATATATATATAATTATATACTTTTCTTGTATAAAACTTTTTCCCAATAAAGAACATGCACAATGAATACATTGTCTTTTTAATTTTAAAGAGCTTTTACTTATATTCTTCTTAGCCATCAAACCAATCGGAACACCTTTACGTTAATAATAGATGTAGTACATGTAGGTCCTTTTCATTTTTTTTTAAATAACTGTGCCAGGATTGTACATGTACGATGTATAAGAGCTGAGACTTTTCTATATAGACTATGCTTAATAGTGACAGTTTTATTGACCCATCAAATCTAATTAAAAGTAAATGTTACATAATGTTTCCCTGCAGGTTTGAGCGGATGGTCCAGGGTGGACCCATGTTTATGGACATCACCTGGCACCCCGCGGGGGACCCCGGTAACAGCGACAAGGAGACCAGCTCCATGTCCATCGCCTGCGCAGCGCTCAACTACGTCGGACACGAGACCATGCTGCACATGAGCTGCTGTAACTCCACCAAGGACGACATCAGGAGACATCTGGACAAGGCTAAGGAGCTGGGCATCCGTAACATCCTGGCACTCCGCGGAGGTGAGTTGGGTTAGACCCTGTAGTGTACTACTCAGAACATCCTGCACTCCATGGAGCAAGTTACGTTAGACTTCGCACTGTGGCATTCCTTTTTTTGAATCCTAATTGTTAGTTCCAGGTAACCGAAGCTAATGACAGTCAAAAGGTCAGTCAGACTCAGGATATTGGGTCAACTTGAATTTCGTTGGAAGCTAAGGTTGACATCATAACATTTGGTTGAAAAAGATTGACAGCAGAATGACAGAAAGTCAAGAGCTGAGGGTAGATTCAGCAAATAGGGTGAATTTGAAGGACATATAAACCCCAAATACGTCTTACAATAGTCATGTATTTCAATGTTGCTTTGGTGTATCTTGTTAATAGGCTAATAATACTCTTATGTTCTGTTTAGATCCCATTGTTGGAGATGAGTGGAAGTATGTGGAAGACGGGTTCAACTACGCTACAGACATGGTGAGGTTCCTCAGAGCAGAGTTTGGGGACTACTTCACTGTGTGTGTGGCAGGTGAGTCTGAACGTCTTGGTTACTTACAGGTATAATGTTAAAATGAAGATTTAGACAGGCAAGAGAAATTTTAAAGTCACACACAATTGTACAGTATATCGTTAGGATTATAACAATGACAATTGACCACAATTTAGAATAATCCACAGATACCACAGTTAAAGGGGGGAAAATCCCTAACAATTTTTATTCCACACAAAGTCAGAAACAGGAAAATAGGTCAAAAGGAGCCAGCAAGAAGTTGGTTTCTAACTGGTGCCTGTCTGTGAAGTAGAAATTCACAATTATAAATAACAAACAATTGAAAAATTCCTAAAAACTCAAAAATGATATTTCACAGAAGTAATAAATCTCCAATTGCTTGTTATTGCTATTGACAGTATTGTTTTGCACCTGTGAATGTACAGTTTTTGACAACATGTGGTTGTAGAAATGCCCTAACCTCAGACTACAAGAGGTCAGACACAGGAAGTTGGGTCCCAGAAGCACAATTTGTGTATACCCTAACAAAGAATGTCGTTGAAGAGATTCATTTGTCACGTATAGATACAGTTACGAGTAGATTCTTTCATCAGTGACAAGTTATTTGAAAGGGTGAGAGTACTGTTCCTCCAAATTTTTGATGGCTATCAGTCCATCTTGTTCAAGGAATGGCCTATAATCTCGCGAGAGCGCGAGACTAGGCCCGAAACTTGCATCGGTCTGCCGGGCCCCACCCCCCGCTAACAAAAAACATGTCTTCCTCCCAGGTTACCCCCACGGCCACCCCGACAGTCCCACCTACGAGGAGGACCTGCAGCACCTGAAGGAGAAAGTTGACGCAGGTGCAGACTTCATCATCACGCAGCTGTTCTTCAAGGCTGACAGGTTCGTCAAGTTCGTGGAGGACTGTCGACGCATCGGCATCAATGTTCCCATCATTCCCGGGGTCATGCCCATACAGGTGAGAAATTACCGTGTGGAAGCCAGAACTCGTTTTCCGGGCCACAAGATGATCAGTGGCTACAAAAACCACGCTAGGCTACTATACTAGTAGGCGTGCATACGTGGTGCCCCTCCTCATATACATTACCCTGGAAGCCAGAACTCGTTTTCCAGGCCACAAGATGATCTGGCTACAAAAAGCGCGCTAGGCTACTATACTAGTAGGCGTGCATACGTGGTGCCCCTCCTCATATACATTACCCTGGAAGCCAGAACGCGTTTTCCAGGCCGCAAGAGCCCTTCGCCCGCTGGTGTAAATTACTGCTACGGGGGAGTCTAGCCCGGGGGAAGTTTGACTGACCCTACAAACAGGGCTGAAACCTCCCCACGGGCTCAAATACCGCATTGGTAATTTAGGTCTGCGGGCTAAGGGCTTCTGGCTGGCAAAGGAAATGGCTAGCGGCCCGTAAGTGTCGTAATGATGTCCCTGGTTTTAAAAAATCATCTTGAAGTTCCCGAAAGTATGAAATTTCCGACCTCCTTTTTTGCAGTTACTCAGTTACTGTAGAAATATAAAAGATGCAATTTTTTAAGTACAATTTTTGTATGTTTGCAGTGTGACATCTCCCCCACTTTGAGAGTAGGTTGATGGCACATGGTTGGGAAGATTGACAGGCAGAATGACAAGGAAATAGGGTAAACTTGAAGGTCATGAAAGCCTAAAATACTTCACTGAAGTCTAAAATCTCTTATTTCTTTTTCCAAAGGGTTACCACTCTCTGAGAAACCTGGTCAAACTGTCCAAACTGGAGATCCCAGATGAAATTCGCGAGGCCATTGAACCAATCAGAGACAACGACGAGGCCATCCGTAACTATGGCGTCCACCAGGCGGTCACCATGATCAGGGAACTGTTCGACAGCGGACTGGTCAACGGTCTTCACTTCTACACACTCAACAGAGAGGTCAGTAGTGACCAGTCTAGTCTCTAGTCTAATCTAACAAGTCTTAAAATTCCTCCTCCTGATAATAGTGTTTTACAGCATTTTGAAAGTGTTAAAAATAGTTTTTGTGTGTTTTGAGTTTGCTCCTCTTGCCTTTAGTTTTTTACCACACTGTAGTGTACATCATTACTCATAGTGACACTGTTAGTGTGAGTAGTATGCATTTAGTAGTTCAACTGTAAGACATTATAGCTGTATCACATACAATTACATGTAGTCATGGTGTACTCAGTCTGGTTTCATCAAGAAAACTGCCACAAACCTAAAACACTGAAAATTCAATGAACGTTCAACCTTTTCTTGGACCTTTAACCTACTTTCATATCAATGTCTACCTTGTAGAAATAACAGATTGAAACATTCCATTTATCATGGATTTCTGGACCACGGTATTTAACCGTCAATCACTCATGTTTCTACTTTCCCAGGTTGCGACCATACAGATTCTGAAACAGATCGGCCTGTGGACGGAGGATATCCAGAGACCGTGGCCTTGGAAGAGAACGGCCAACTACAACCGATGCGAGGAGGAGGTTCGGCCGATCTTCTGGGCCTCGCGACCCAAGAGCTACGTGTACCGCACTCAGGAGTGGGATGAGTTTCCCAACGGAAGATGGTACGTCCTCGGTTTTAACTTAAAGGCATCCAGTGCAGTTTTTAGGGCTGGGAAACCCGATTTTTCAAAGCCAATATTCTAGCTATTTATCTACATACTGAGTTGAAACCACACTGTCCTAGTGTATATTGACCATCATGGTGCAAAAAGTCCCAAAATTCTTACGAAAAATGGTTACTGGAACTTGGAAGGGCCATGGGCTGATTTTTAGGGTACCACCCAGAAAATAAAAGACTCCTTTCTGGCTTTAAATGCCCAAAGTATGAAATACTGACTCAAATGTGCTAATGCAAAGCAGTATGTGTCCATATCACAAAGATTGCCTTATTTAGAATATTTCTAGTTTTGCTGCCCTGAAATCGCATTGGATGCCTTTAGTTTAAGCACTGATTTTATTTTGCAGTAAAACTAAAGAGTTTTTTGTGTGTGTGAGATGAGGTGGCATGTTGAGATGTACAACAGATTTTTCTTTGTGTTTTTGCTGAATTTGCTTTTAACACTAGGCACTTAAGATTTGAATAAGCTGGTTCATGGTTCCAATTGTACCATGTATGGGTGATGCATTGTGGGTAATATGTCGAAGTTGAAGGCCCCTAAAGACATAAAAAAACATGTCTAAAGATATAAGTAAATTCATGTAATAAAATTGTATGTAAATGAACGTATGTATATGACAAAAATGGATTCTAAGACAAAAACTGTTTACATTATATAATTAGAGGCCTTCATCTTTGACCTTACCGCACAGTTGGAACCAGAAACAAATTTTCCTATGAACGTTTAGATTTAGTAAAAAATGAAAACATCATTTCATAATTGGACCTTTCAATGTGTTGTGCTCAAAATTGGTAGAATGGGTGCCATCCATATTTTAACCAGCCCCTTCGCTGGATTTTTTCAGACAAGCAAGTACATTTAGGAGCTTGTTACAAATTGGATGGCACCCAGGCTATGAAATTGATGAAAATCCATTCAAATTTTAAGTGACCAGCATTTTTCCTTATTTTAATTTTTTGCTGTGAACAGTTATGCAGTAGTTGGTGTATTTTTACAGGGAAAGCCTTAAAAGACGATCATCATCAGGAGAAAATTGGAAAGAAGACAGGTCTCTGTGGAATCTTGTTTTCTTTGATCAGTAGCAGCATCCAGACTAACCCTTGGGACATGTAGCGTCTGAACTGTACTAACGCTTCATGTTTCAGCACTAATATTCCAGAGCTGTGCAAGCTGTCATCCCCCATATATTAGTCTTTCTTGATAATATCTGTGTCTATGTAGTCTCACTAGTTCATGAATGTGTATGTACACGTATTTGTGTGATTTTTTATAGACTGAGGGAGAATGAAATAGCATACTATACAAATAAAACAGATGCATGGTATATGGTTTTCGGTGTCTTTTCCTTGCTAGTATAAGGGATATCTTTCAAATGGACAAGCTTAGTTCTAGAGGATATAAAACTTTGTTGTATACTGTCCAATTTATAATTTTGTGTAGATCTTTACAAAAGCCTTCACATAGTACCAATGATGAATGTGATTAAAGTATTATATTGTATCTAATGTGTTTAATGTCAAATTACTGTGCATGCACGAGGTCAAATTTAAGGTAAAGGCTACTAAAACCTGCTATTTTACACTATAACGTTAGATACTATTTTACACTATATATATATATATATACATGTAGTACAGTCAATTCCACATATTATAAACATGTATATTTACTGGGATGTTTTCTTGTGTTTTTAGGGGCAGTTCCGAGTCTCCGGCCTTTGGGGAGTTGAATGACTATTACCTGTTCTACCTGAAGCCCAACGCCAAGAAAGAGGAATTGCTGGACATGTGGGGCCACGAGCTGACGTGTCTACAAGACGTGTTCGACGTCTTTACAAACTACATCACAGGGAAGGACAGCAAGAATGGCAAGAAGGTAATCATAATAAGGAAGTCCTTCTTCTTCAAGAAATTGGGAAAAAAATAAAAAAGGGCGATTTTAGACTTCCAGGTATATGGGGCTTTGTTGACTAGTGCAACACCTGTTTTAATGCCTCGTTTTCTTTCATTTCTACATTTTTTGATAGACATGTGCAGCTATGTGATTGGTCTCTAACTGATCTGATATTTTCCCGCGATAGGTGCGAAAGATCCCGTGGAACGATGACGACCTTGCGGCAGAGACCGGCTACATCAACGACAAACTTGCGAGGATCAACAGCAGAGGGGTCCTGACAATCAACTCCCAGCCTAACGTCAACGCAGCGCCGTCCACTGACCCGGTCGTCGGGTGGGGCACACCGGGCGGTTACGTCTTTCAGAAGGTAGAAACACATTCAAGATTTTTACTTTTGAATCAGGATTTTGTAAAAACAGACTGAAGTTCTGACTACAATCTTCCATATTTCAATTTTACCATGTATGCTTCAAGGAAAGGATCCAAATTATATAAATTAAAAGACCCAATGTAAAATTATGTAACAGTAACAACTGGTTAATCAACTGATACATGTATTTGCAAACATTCGTATGATCATGGTTAGTTTGACAAGAAAAAAAACACTGGACACTGTAATTTGTAATGAATTTCATATTTATACAATGAATAAGCCTTATGTACATGCAAGTGAAGAAAAATAGACAAGCAACCAAATATAAACAGAATTATTTTTGATTTGTAAATCTTTTTTTTTGTGCACCAGGCATACCTAGAATTCTTCACGTCTCGTGAGAATGTCCAGGCCTTGTTCAAGGTACTGCCCAAGTATCCTAATGTCAACTACCACATCATCAAATACGAGGTGAGTTTCTTACATCATAGCCATCTGTGTTTTAAGATATCGCTGAAAAGAAAAAGATTTCAAACTTCCAGGAATTTTGTTGTTGTTGTAAATGTTTTTCGTGAATGTATTGGAACCGTGGAGGGGATTGTGTGAAGTAATTTAATCAGGGATTACACCACTTCCTAAATATACCACCCACTGACTCCCACCTGGTGCATCTTGAGACTTAACCTTCCTATCAATCATCTGTCAAAATCATCTCCCACCCACCAGGCAATGGAAGCAATAAGTACAGACAGAGCCACTTAACACATACCCAGAAGTTATGATATAGAATGAGTTCAACACAAGTTCTACTTCAGGTGCATGCATCAACAAATTCTCCTAACCCTAGAAAATTCTCTGCAATCATTATTCAGTTGCCGCATTCTTTAACTCGAGGAACTGTCAATTCTCCCAACTGTAGGGTGAAGATGACTACACCAACTGTGACCAGCAGCAGCCAATAGCAGTCACCTGGGGAGTCTTCCCTGGGAAGGAGATCATCCAGCCAACCGTGGTAGATCCTGTCAGTTTCAAATTCTGGAAGGTGAGCTCTTGGTCCCAGGATACTCAGTATTTTGTAGGACAGAACTGCAGTATTTTGGGAATTTGAAGCCTTTGATTCTTGCAGAGAATTTGATTAAATATGCAAGTTGAATGTCTAACAACTTGCAATAGACTGAACCTAATGACTGTCCATCATAAGTATTGTTCAACCAATGACAGGATGACAATTAGCAGTTTGACCAATGAGAGAGTAGCTGCATATCCATTAAATGTTTATTTTTTATGTTGTTATTTTGCATTGCTACATTTTGATGGCAGTTGACAGGACTTTGGGATCAGCCTATTTTCCACGACTTGTAAAATATGCTGTAGATGGAAAGAAAGCCTACATTTTCTGACTTTTTCTGTCCAATCAGGACGAGGCTTTCACGTTGTGGACGGAGTACTGGGGCCAGCTGTACGCGGAGAACTCCAAGTCGCGAGAACTGATCCAGCACATCCACGACACCTGGTACCTCGTCAACCTGGTCGACAACGACTTCCCCAGGGTAAGGAATCAATGCCACGCAAACACACAGCTGCAGTTTTAAAGAAGGTTGCTAGGGGGAGTCAAATTTTTGTAAACTTCTTTCAGAACTTCAGATTTTTTTTTAACCGAATTTAACGTCATTTTTCCCCAACCGGGGGTTAGACGTGCTTGCACCAAGTGTACAAGTCTAGTTTTTTTAAGCAAGATTTTTACGGCTGGATGCTCTTCCTAACGCCAACCCGAACCCTAGTAGGGCCCAGGAAATACGTGCTAAGTGCCTTTCCCAAGGGCACAACGTCTGGGTGCATGTCAGGACATGTCTGGGTCCAACCCTGGGGATTGAACCTGCGTCCCCTTGCTTGACAGTAGATAAAAGATAAAAACAACTGATTTTAGGTCTAATTCCTCTTCTACATATTTCTATGAATTTTTATTTTTAGATACACTTAGTAATACTTGTCAATGAGATTAATCCCTCCTTTTCTTTCAAATTGTTTCTTTCAGGAAAATATCCTGTTCACTGTTATCAAGGACATGTTTGCAGAGGCTGACCTCCAGAGGGCAAAGGGCAAGGGTCAGACCAATGGGGTGAACGGCGTCCACCATGTTGATGATGATGGTGTGTTTGTGAATGGGGCCGGTGATGTCCCAAAGAACACTTGTGCCGAACAGATTCAGAGAAACGCCGAAGCTGAGATTGTACAAGCCCTGTAAAAAAACATGTTCACTTCAAGAAACCAAAACTGTATACTTCAAACTCTTGTGCAATTGTGAAAAGACTTCTCACAAGCAGTCAAGGAAGAATAAGAGACAGTCCATCTCTCTAAGACTGTCCTTAAAGATGACACAGTTTAAATCTCTTTCATGGAAGAAGATGTGAGATATTGACATATTGAGATTCATATTTCACAGTTGATTTGTGAAATGTGTCCAAAGTTTATGGGTTGCACAGGAAAGTGGCCGTGCAGTGTTCAAGCGTTTTTATAACGATCATTCAAAAGTGGTTATTGTCAAATTTCTCATAAAATCTTCACATGAATTACACATATCATAATATGGAATGTGTTACGTACATGTGTATTATAGCAAGCAATTTCAATGGCTCATAATGAGCCTAAAAGCAACATTTAAACATAACACTGCCAATTGGAAGTATTGTTTTGGGTGGCTGGGCTGTGTTTGTGTATCTGCCTGTCCAGACAGTAGGTTGACAACACGTGAGGAAGATTGGCAGGCAGAATGACAGCAGGTAAAGGGGTCAGAATCTGACCAGGAGCCGACAGCAATTAGAGGTGGATATGAGGTAATTCAAGAGGCAGAGGGTTTCATACTTTTCTGGAAGTCTGGATTTCTTGCTGATTTCTAAGTTAATGGATACTTTTTCGCCGTTACTTAAAGTGCTCAAAGGCTGTCGGTCAGTGTCCTCTTATATGTCAAACTACTTCTTAACTTGTGATCTTTAAAGTTCCTCCCCCTTCTTGGTAGAAGTCTTTATTAAGCCAGTCTAAAAACTATATGTTATTACCAACACAAGAAAATGGACCCAAATTTTGCTCATTTTTTTTTCTCATTTTTTGACAGACATGAGTTGTACAGTGGAAAATTAGGGGTAAGACCAAGTTCTTGCTTCATAACTTACAGTAGCTTGTTAATAATTGCATATACTGCTGCTACTAGCCAGTGAAGTATTATTTTTATAACAGGGAAGCAGTTTACTCAGGTTGATACTTTCCAAACAGAGGTTTATGTTTGAGCTTATTCTTGTCTTTGTAGGTATATTGTATCAGGCTCATCTTCTTTGTCACCAGCCAAAGAAATAAAACCTGAAAAAAACTAGTACAAAAAAAGAAAGCCCAATAAATACCCCTAAAGTCATGTTATTAACTAAAGATAAACCTCTGTTTAGAGAGTACAGGTCGATACATGTACAAGTGCAATGGGGAAAGTCCTTAGTTTAAAATCTTGAAGTTCAGCATATTCTACAAGTACATGTAGATTCAATAGTTGATAGACTAAGTCCATTTTTTTCACAAGGAGAAGAAAATATGATTGTAAATGTGAACATAAAATGGGCCATGCTTGATGTGTTGTACAACAACCAGAGAACGTACACAATGTTTCGCTATCCAAAAACTATCCTTTTTTTTGTTTCTTTCCAAAAAAACAAAGGGCCAGTACATTGCAAACTTTTTTTATAATAGTGAAGTACAATACCATGATTTGTCACATCAATTAGGATTGTTTCTAGCAATTTCAAGCATTGAATACTTGTATTTAAATGTATATGATTGTGTAAAAAAAGTGGTTGCAAAATTGACCTTAAGTAGTTACAAAGGAGAAGTTAAACCAATGCATTTCTGTCAGTGTCAGTGATTTTGCAAGATGTTAGTGTCACAGTAGCTTTATAACATGGATTCAAAGTGTTGAGGTTTACAATTATAAGAAAAAATGTTTAAAAAGGGACAGGGCAAGGGTGCTTTTTGCACTTCAGAAATGTTACCAACAATGGTCTAAACAACAGTGTTCAATACCTTGTATACAAGTACTTTTTCCAAATGAATGTTGTATTTTGAGCAGTACTAGACATGTATTTGCTAACTTTGGCTCTGCAGTTATTGGAGGTATTTTTGCAGTACTGTACATCTGAAACTATCCTTAGGCTAATATTGTTAAAAGATTTATTGTACACATTTTCTATCTTGAAAAAGCACATCTTTACTGGGACTGGCTATTGTTGCCTTATAGTACATAGTAAGTGGGAAGTTTTGGAGCTGTTTGTATGTGACTCTAAGTCCTCTGTAAAGAGCTGTAACGTAAGCGTGCCTTTTCTATGTGGTGCTCGTGAGCCATGTTGCTTGGTGTCCAAAAACCATACAGATACTGTCAAACAAAAAAAAAATGAATTAAACTTTGTAGATACATCAATATGGTCTGATATTCTTTTTTGTATGGATGTTTTAGTCATTTATAGAGCTGTGTACATTCTCTTGTTCTAAACTACATGTATAAATCACAACAAATCAAATTGGTGTGGCCTAAAGCACAGATCTAGATACAACAGTGCTGCTCCTCTAGCACCATGAAGAAGCAAACTAAATCTTATGGAAAAGAGTAGGCGTACATGTATACTTTGCACTGCAAGTGGACCAAACCTTACAGACTGGTCTCCAGGTTGACATCTTGAAAATGTGAGTCACCTGTTATATCAATCATTCCACGAATGTGGTAAATCTAAAAAAAAAATATTCTAAAATATTACACACCTACATGTAATGGTAATTTCAGCACCAAGGACATGTCCACAACATTTTGCAATTCAAACGGTGTCTTGTCCAGTCAGTAATCGGCAAGTTCCAGGACAACTTTGGCACTGACAACATATGTACATGGTCTGCGGCTTGCAGGTGTGGAACATGCATAGCGTTAAGACTTCGCTGACATTTACGTAGAATGATATTTGATTTGTTAATGTCCATATTTTTGTATGTATGTTTATGTATTGCTTTCATAATGTGTTTAAATCCAATGCTGTTTTATACTGTTTTTTTATTGATGTAATTAGGGGAGGGAGCTGGTAAAGATGACCCACCTGTTCTCCCTCCCCCTCCATGCATGTGCTGGAAAATTTTAATAAACAAATAAACATTTGTCTACAGCCTTTGCAAAGCAAAGAGTTTATTCCAATCCCTAGGGATTGCCTTCTTCCTGCTATATGCTATATATGTACATCATCTCTATACCATTTATTAGCCTCACTAAGCCCTACTCTCCAAGCAGAGGTTTGGGTTTTGGGGGTATTTTAGCGTGTTTTTAGGCTTTTTTTATTGGGGTTTCTCTTTTGCACTGAATTTGTTTTCCCACCAAACCCAAAAAAAATTCAGTGCAAAAGAGAAACCCCAATAAAAAAGCCTGAAAACATGCTAAAAATACCCCCAAAACCCAAACCTCTGCTTGGAGAGTATCACTAAGCCCCAACTAATACAAGTTATCAAGTTTTTCACATAGCCTCCCTTGTTTTTCTTCATACTTAAAACTCAAGTACAGGACATCAATAACCTAGCACACAGGCCTTCAACTATTAGGCTTTTGGTATCTCAAACCACATCCAGCCAATTCATATAGAGTTGTACCCTGGAAGCCAGAACTCGTTTTCCGGGCCACAAGAGTCCTTCGCCCGCTGGTGTAAATTACCGCTACGGGGGAGTCTAGCCCGGGGGAGTTTGGCTAGCCCTACAAACGATAGTAATAGGGCCGGACAAACCCATCGGGCTCAGCTCCCCGTAGCGGTAATTTAGATAGGCGGGCGAAGGGCTCTTGGCTGCCGAAGGAAAACGGCTAACGGCCCGATACTAGTTTGGCATCCAGGGTAATAAAGTTGAGGCAAATGAAAGCCTAACAAGGCCAGGTCTCTGGTTAACACACTGACACAAGTACAGACTGTAGCTTGGATTCTACCAAAATCAACAGGACGTACAGATATAATCATTATGGACTCTTGTCCACGTTTTACAAAGCAGTGATTAAAAGGTGTTTTATGCTGCAGTATCATCATTACTCAGCTTATAGAGTAATAACTCTGGATAGTATGATAACTACACCATAGGTATGCATAATAATTATTACAATAGGGCCAATTAATTTTGTTTTATTCTCTGTCCCAAAACTTCTAAGTTGGAATATCACATGACTTGTGAATTTAAGTACTTCGTTAAAACAAATCTTAACCCAAATACCAACAAGGAATCTTTCCTTAAGTTGCAATCAGTCCTTAACAAAGTGACAAAAGTACTAAAAAAATGCACCCTCCCTCCAAAGCTTACATGTAGTAAAACAGACCATCTATCTCTATTTCTTTGATTTTCCAATACCTCAAAACAATATCTCAATGTACACAGAAGGCAACATGACGAAAAAGAAATAAGAGGAATGTGTCACATTATGCCTTTTCAAGATCAGTTATAATTATATGGTCTTCTTCCACATTATTTATTTTCTTAAATATCTCAACACCAAGTGAGTCATTTGCAACTAGTATTTAGAACAGAAATTTGAAAGTTGAAAATTTTTTTCTAAAGGCTGCAGATACTGACTCTTAATTTCACTATAACCTCCTTGTTCACGTTGATGTGTTTTTCCTCTATGTACATGTACAATCGTGTAAAGCTACATCCAGTATAATATAACACAGATTGCGCCTTTTGACACACCATTTTGTTCTCTTTGCATTTTGATTCCTAAAAGGTAAGTACTTCAGATATCATCTTGCAATAATGCCGATAAGTGGTTTCAGAGTTTGAACTGTGCCTGTGTAGTATGATGCATTTCTTTTCATTTTTTTAACGGTGTCGCTCAATGCAAAGCCAATTATTTTTGGCCACTTCTAGGCATAGAGCTAGAGCATAATGTAGTTATGTCAGGAGATGGCGGTGGACCTTTGTTTTGAAGCTTTGTGGACTGTAATCGGACGGAAAGCAGCTGTTTGGAAGAGAGTTCCATAATTTTGCAGTCCGGGGAAAGAAGCTGTTGTTGTAAAATGTGGGTTGTGGCATTGTGGGTAATATGTCAAAGCTGAAAGCTGAGACATAAATAGAACACATCTGTACTTGCATCAAGTACGGTCTAGACAAGAAGTTACAACTATCAGGCCTTCCTACTTGACCTTGCATATGCACGGTTTAAACTTTGAACTGCCTTATTCACCCTTTTCCCATTCCCAGCATGCATAGCATCAATCCCCATAGAAATGTACGTCACCAACAGTCTGTCAGACATCAAAGTATCTATATTTCTAAACAAGACTATTACCAATTATTAGATAATTCCTTCTTTACTTTTGTACTTGTACCTAATTATATCTGATATAGTTTTACCGTCTTGTTTTATAAATTCTCTTTTTAAATTACATGGCTTGTCATTTAGCTTGATGAAACAGACAGAATGACCGATGACATTGTTTATGCTACTTTCCAAGCAGAGGTTTGGGCTTTGGGGGTATTTTTAGCGTGTTTTTAGGCTTTTTATCGGGGTTTCTCTTTTGCACTGAATTTTTTTCCCACCAAACCCAACAAAAATTCAGTGCAAAAGAGAAACCCCGATAAAAAAGCCAAAAAACACGCTAAAAATAACCCAAAACCCAAACCTCTGCTTGGAGAGTATGTTTATGCTGACAATAAGCTGACTCACCATTTGAACTGCGCATGTGCAGTGTGATGTTGAAATGAGTTATGACGAAAACAAAAACAGAGATCACTCGTATGAGAGTATGTAGCAGGTTCACAACATACATTTAGTAGCTTTAACAACAATAATACATGCCATGTACTATTGTACAAACAGTGAAATACCGCCTCCTAATTCATGTCCTATACATGTAAATATCTGCCTTATATTCCTCTCCCTGGATATTATGTACAATCGTGCATCTTCTATGTCATAATATATCAAGACATCTTTTTCTTTCAATTTGTGAGATGATTAGTGCTGTCCTAATTAGTATGTACAGGTTGATCTGTGGCCAAAAAAAATCATTTTGTGAAAAGCCAAACTATATTAGGAGACTTTTAGCCTGCACAACTGGTGAGTTGCTAAGTAGTAATAGCTAGTAGCCTGTGTTACACAACCTCTCACTGTCAGGAGCTGATTGGGCCTCCTCCCTGAGAGCTTGTGGCCATACACCTCTTAGCCTCTACCAGGCACCGCGGATTGCTGGAAAATAGTAGAAATTGGCCGAAATAAAGGGATAGTATCCCAGAGAAGATCCAGGGCCATAGAAGCTCCGTGGGTCGCAAATTGGAGCTTCTATGGCCCTGGATCTTCTCTGGTATACTATCCCTTTATTTCGGCCAATTTCTACTATTTTTCAGCGATCCGCGGTGCCTGGTAGAGGCTAGCCATATACACCTCTGACTTCAGACAACCATTCCCATTCACAGACCTTAACCAATCAGGACTCTTCAGCACTATGAAAATCAGTCCAATAGGAGCTCAGGATTCTCTGTCGCCATGAAAACCAGTCATCACAGCCTCCAACTCCATGGTAACAGTCAGGCAATGATTAGTCCATGTCAGTACACATTAATTATTACAGGATTAAGATGTTCCCAATTCTCCTGACTTAGAGGTATTGGACATCAAGCTTCTACTAGTAAGGCCACACCATCTTAATTTTATGGATGACACCCGCTCGGGCATTGATTTTCGCCTGTTCAGAGGATGTCATCCATAAAATTAAGTTGGTGTGACCTAAGGGCCTGACTAGTGAAAGAGCTGCTAGAAGTGTGATGTAGTCAGGCTACAGGTAGGTAAAAGCAACCACAGCATTTTCATTCTATCTTATGAACCCCAAAGTTGAGAAATTGTTACACATATTTGGTGAGGTTAAATTATGAAAAAAGGGTTGTAAGTTTTGTCATAATTGGCATGAGTGCAGTAGGATGTTTAAATTTGTTTGAAACTTTGAATGCAACACCACAGTAACATAATTCATTCAGAAGTACAAGGTATTTTCTCAAAATAAAATATAAAATGGCACAAATTTTTGACTATTTGGATGTTTAGGCCTTCTTCAGATTGGGCTTGTGCAGAGCAGTGTGATCAGTAAAATGCATGTATGCTGGAAAGCATGGGGTGGGTTTACATGTGTAGTAGTGATGCATACCTAAACCCAATTTTAGGTTCAGGTCCGGATTCAAGTCCAGAGGTTTAGGTTCAGTTCCGGACTTGTAAGTCCGGACCTAAACCCATGGCATATACAAAATTGCATGTTGGCAACCTTGCAATGTTGTCTGGGTGAAACTTTGGCCACATAACATGGAGGCCAGTACTTGACGATGCCCGTTGGCAATGTTTTCTTCATTTTGCAGCAAATATTTTACAATCCACATAAGGTTTTAGGTGGTTTGGAAAGAAAAGGGGTATGTGAAATGGTCTTTTATGGTAATAAGTCCGCACTCGGTTCTTGACTTTTAGTGTTTTTTGGACTTGAACCTAAACATTCTTTCAAGTCCGGATCCAAGTCCAGTGAACCGGAATGCATCACTAGTCTACATTGAATATTGTGTGGATGCTGGGAAAGCATGGGGTGGGTTTACATTGTGTAGTCTACATGAATATTGAGTGAGTTGCCATTCATATCCCGAAGTGCCATCTAGGTGTTACCATCAGAACTGCACCCAGCTTGATCCTGACTGGTTACTGTTACCAGACCTGGAAAAGATAAAAACATTGTATATGACACAACTTAACAAACAAACAAACAGGTATATGAAACATGACAAAATACACATTAAAAAATTTATGCCACCACGGTGTGATAGGCCACTCCTGTAGGTATAAATTAAAGTTTTTCTGGACAGACAACTTTGAAAGTTTGGAATTTTGTCTATTTTTATTTCTGTGTACACTGGATAAGGGTTTTGTTTTAAGTGCCTGTTTCTGTGTTTGGAATATCTTTCCATAGTTATTTCCAATTTTATCAAAAAATTTACTATTTGTATCCTCCTAAATGTTACATAATTAAAATTTGATAATTTCTAAACTTTCCCAAAACTTACCCTGCTCCAGCGAAGTCTCCCCAGTCTGCCCCGCTCGATGATGCGTTACTCGACGATGCGAAGGGATCCAGATCTAAAAGTGAATTGACGTTGGACTGTTTTGGTTGGGTGGGGGGTGCGGGGTTGGGGGAGGGGCTGAGAGACTGCCGAGACCACCTAAGCCACCTGGAAAGCAACAACACCTTTGCTATCACCGTACATATGGATAAGCACCCTTATATGCAGGTTTTTTTCTAGAAAAATTTAGCATGAGGGAGCAGATCGCAAGCACGGTGAGGGAGTTATGTGACCGAGGGGGTATACAGTATTTTTTATGACAGTAACACAGTTTGTAATGCTAGAATGCATTGCTGTATTGTTTTTACATCTTTACTGGAAAAAGATCATTTTGAGAAAGACTACATGGTGTGTAAGTAGCCACTTAGGGTTCTATCTGAAAATTGACATGAGGGAGCTGGCTGGTTACATGAGGGAGCAGAGTCTAATACAAGCTACAGCTGAAATCTGCCACCATAGTAGACTGACAAAACAGAAGAAAGCCTTACCTGTGGCTGACTGTGGCTGTTGGGGTGGGGGTGCAGCTCCTCCAGGAGGTGGGGTTAGGGTGGGGATCTTACCCCCGGGGGGTGGGGGGAGGAACCCTCCTGCTCCTCCGCTGGGCTTCGCTTTGGAACCGCTTTTCTTCTTCTGTAGAATGAATGGTGGGAATTAATGTCATTACTAGTAATTTTCTATCAAAAAACTGAATACCTTATTGCGTCTCGGAGAGGGAAGCTGGAGAGGCATTGGGGTAAGTGGGGTACTTTCTGTAAGGCTTATTTATAGATACATGATTGTATTACTTTTACTTTATGTATTAGAGTTTAGGGAGGCTCTATGTTTATGTTTATGTCAATGTTTGCGTGAAAATGAAAAAAAATTAATGTCATTACCATTTGATAGCAATTAGGAATGTTTTTTACGATATCTGAATTTGTAGTTTGAAAGCAACTTCACAAATTTCAGCATCATTGGACATACATTTTGTATAAGGCCCAATTTACACACGAACAAGTGACTGTTTGAAAACTGTTGACATCAAATTTTTCCTGTGCATAAATTGGCCTGCTTTAACCTACATGTACATAAAGATCAACTATGTCCAGATTGTACACTAGTCCTCAAGGTAACATACACTCTGAATGTAGTTATTTCTTTGATATAGGTCAAAACAGAGCAATTCATATGCAAGAAAAATTAAAAGCAAGCAATTCATTTAGTCATTGGCATACGCAGAGTGAGTGAGTGAGTGAGTGAGTGAGTGAGTGAGTGAGTGAGTGAGTGAGTATGTAAATTGGGTCTAAGATTTGACATTGTCGTTTCCTCACCCCTATGTTGATAGTGATAGTTTGTCCCTCCTTGAAGCCCAGGTCCAGTTTCGGGCCGGTGTCTGTCGTGCCTTCCTTCTCTATCTGTTCACTCTTCCGCACCCACCTTCAAAGCAAACAGCACGTTAGAAGGATACAGGAGTTTTCTCATGAAAGTTCATCTGTGTTGGTAGTAATCATAGTAAAACATTGAACTTTATTCCAACACAAGGGTTACAGAATGATCAAATTTTCAACGACCACTGTCGCCTTCATCAGTTAGTAGAGATGGTGGACGATATAAACTCCCTGCCACTTTTGATCAATTGCTTATGTCACGTATCAGTAAAGTCTCGTGTGAATAAGGTCACGTGTTTGTAAACCGTAACTCTCGCGAGATCACGTTGTGAAGTGATTGGTCATTAATTATCCTGATGAAGGCGACAGTGGTCGTTGAAAATTTGATCGCTATGTAACCCTTGTGTTGGAATTAAGTTCAATGTTTTCTATACAGGAGTTTTCTTTTACACAACCAAGATAGTTTACCTTCCTGACGTTTTGGTGTCTATCAGACACCTTCCTCAGAGCTTCTGACTGGAGTTCTGCTTCTCACCGCTATATGTAGCCAATGTAGGTGACTGGAGAAGCAGAATTCCAGTCAGAAGCTCTGAGGAAGGTGCCTGATGGGCATAGAAACTTCAGGAAGGTAAACTATCTTGGTTGTGTAAATGAAAACCCCTTTACCAACCTGATGAAACTATTGACACCGCATTTACTGTTAAACTAAAACACAACGTCATTCATTATAGCAAACTTACTGACATTGAAAGTCATAAATTGCATAGCTCCAGAAGGAAAAGACAATTCATCTAAGTCATAAATATGAAAAACGTGGAACCTTGAGATTTTAAGAACTTACTTGAAGTGATCCTGTAGAGCAACATTGAAGTCAAATGAGTCTCCTCTGTCCCCAAAACCCATCCCGATAAACGCACTGCGGCCTGTAAAGGAAGGAAGTATTGTACATGTAGCAAGAAATTTAAGACAGGAAGTAACACAACCTTTAAATATACCGGAACCATCGACCTAACTTCCTGTTAGTCTCTTAAATGCATGTAGAAATAACTACAAAACACACTTAGCAATTCCAACAGCCAAGCTGGACAAAAAACAAGTGGTTATTTTTTTCTAATGCAACATTTATCAGGAGAATTTTTTTTCAACTTATTTTCATGACGCTCCCAACACAGAAAAATGCACAGTCAACAGACATACATGTACTCATTTCTACCTGAGTTAAGTTAGGAAATTTGACATGTAAAGTGCCTTTCCTGAGGGCACAGGATCGGTGGTAATACTGGCCGAACGCTCTGTCATTGTGCCAATCAACCCCACACGAACAGTGTCATTTCAATACAACAGTCTACTAACTTGTCCAAATGAAAGCTCCCCTACCTGAGTCATCCTGTACCCTGATGACAAAGTACCTGCTGGAGTCTGTTACTGACTCCACAGCCACACCTGGATAGGCATCCACCGGGGCCTGAGCAAACAGCTCACCTGTGAACAGAAGGGGGGGGGGATGAAGATTCAGGCTCCAAATACTTTTTCCTATGTACCTGCACTGGTGCAGGTAACATTGTAAATATACATATCGTACATGTAGTGCACAACCCCAATTTAATTACCTGTTAAGTTGTGCACAAATGTTGTACTTTTAAGTACATTGTACATTACTTGTACATCTAAGTGCAATCCTACGATAAAGAATGCTCAAACTAAACAAATAATCATAGGACTAAAACTAACTTTACATAATGCAGTAAACGAATTTAATATATAGTAAATCCCCACCAGAATTTTTGTCCTCTATTTTGATGACACAGTTTTTGCCCTTGGCGACAATTCTCATCCGTCCTGTGTAGTCTGGAGCATCCAACTTCCAGTCTGCCGCTCTGTACAGGAGAGGGCAAGGCAAGGTTTTAAACTAGAAAAGTAACATTTGCAAAGCAAATGCATAATGTTTACCTTCGGACATGGTCTGCTCTGTTAATTCTCACTCAAACACATTCACATACATGTATATGATGACAGGAGTCTAAATGTCTACTATGAAATTGCAACATTATGTAACCCAACACCAGTTATTATGGTGACAGACGTCAACAAAAGAGGCCATTGGCCAGATCAAAAGTTAGTGTTTGGAACAGAAGAAGAAGAAATGGAGCAAAAACAATATGTTTTCCTTCGGTAAACATAAAAACCCAAATATTACTGATATTGATGCCAATAATGGTTCAATACATGTAACATGACATATGTGGATTTCAAGGCAGACAAACATCTGTGCCCTCTAGCAGCTAAAGTTGGTACTGCAGCAGAACATCTGGTTTTGTTAATTCCTTTTGTTGGGAACATGGTGTGGTCTTCTTAGATGAGCTTTACAGCTACTTGTATTATACAATGTTTTTAGTTATAAATCTAGAGTTTGTGATTTAACAGCAGCTGCTTCCCAGTATATTGTATTGTAACTTGACTGCAAGAAAAGCTACATTGTAAATTGAAATATTATATTTCAAAGTAAGATTGTTACTTGCAGATTGTTACTTAGGAATCTGACCCATTATTATCATATTGGTTCTTTGCTGACAGTTATTTTAAAATTCCTTTATTAGAAGCAATATAGTACATACTTTGTAACAGCAATTAAAGTATTTTGAGTCCTGTTTTGCAGTGTGATTATGAAATAAAAAGGAATATAGCTTTTGGGCCCCCGTACCCAGTGTAATACCAGTGTTCTCGCCAGGCCTTTTGAGCATAGGGGCCCCCTATGCTGTGATTTGGACCCCCTATGAGTATGCTGTGATTTGGACCCCTATGCTGTCTTTCAACCAGCATAGGGATGTTTTTGGATAAAGAACCTTAATAAATCTTGCAAAAAATGAAAATATAACTTTAGAATGAAGCTATAGCAAAAGGAAAACCTTAACTTCACAAAATTTGTCCCTCAATGAGCGAGAAATGGTGTCTTAGGGTGCTAATATATATATGATAAGAGGATTATTAATGAAGTGTCTGGCTGGTTGACTGATTACAGACTGCAGCTCCACTGTTATCACACACACACACATGTACTCTCATCTGCCGAATAAACATACCCCCGGAATAAACGTACCCCCCGGAAAATTACCAAAATTGACGGGTAACCTGTGTCTCTTGTACTAAAATGCGCCCTTACTGATACATGCACAAATCTTTAACTGTTATTTGCAATTAGGAATTTAAATAGGCAAAAAAAAAGAGCATTTAATATTTCGTATTTTGATAAGCACCACCCATGACAATAGAACATTCAGACGAATTTATGCACGCGGTGATTGCAAAAACCGGCCCGAAAATGACAAGTTTCTCGCTACAATACGCGTTTATAAACGTCTTCACGTCGATGATTTGTCAATTTTTTTCACACGAAGTTGAAAAAAATTACTGGTTTTCAAAAAATTAATAAACGTACTGTGCAAAATAAGAACGTACTGGGTGGATGTTAGGGCCCAAAAAAATAAACGTACCCGTATGTTTATTCGGCAGATGAGAGTAAGTAAGAATGCTAACAATAAAGTGAAGAAATGAAAAGTTGCTGACTTCCATTTTGGTGATTGGTATCGTGAGTACTCGACAGTCGTATTGATTTTTGCCCAGGTACTGAAAGGAGAAGATAGTGCACACTTTCACTGTCTGAGTTTG